GGCCGACATATTCCAAAAAATCATCAAAAATGGTTTACTTTACAAACTATTCGTTTTTTGGTATACAACTTTTTTTAACCCATCGATTTTTAATTTGTTTGAATGCCAATTGATAGTAGGGTTCCCTACGAATTCAGGAAGGTATAACATTTAATAATCGGATTATATTTACCCGAGATATTCAAAAAAATGCATCAAAAAAGATTTTATTCTCGAACCGACCCCGATTTTGAAAAAAAAAGTGATGTAACCCCTTGCCATTTTGGTTGATTTGGACCAAAATTTAGATTTTCAGATTTTTGATGCCAATCGATAGTACTGATCCTTACGAATCCAAAATGGTATAAAATTCCCAAATCGGACATTATTTGGCCGACATATTCCAAAAAATCATCGAAAATGGTTGACTTAACAAACGAATCGTTTTTTGGACGACAACTTTTTTTAACCCATCGATTTTTAATTTGTTTGAATGCCAATTGATAGTAGGGATCCCTACGAATTCAGGAAGGTATAACATTTAAAAATCGGATTATATTTACCCGAGATATTCAAAAAAATGCATCATATAAGTTTTTATTCTCGAACCGACCCCGATTTTGAAAAAAACGTGACCCCTTGCCATTTTGGTTGATTTGGACCAAAATTTAGATTTTCAGATTTTTGATGCCAATCGATAGTACTGATCCTTACGAATCCAAAATGGTATAAAATTCCCAAATCGGACATTATTTGGCCGACATATTCCAAAAAATCATCAAAAATGGTTTACTTTACAAACTATTCGTTTTTTGGTATACAACTTTTTTTAACCCATCGATTTTTAATTTGTTTGAATGCCAATTGATAGTAGGGTTCCCTACGAATTCAGGAAGGTATAACATTTAATAATCGGATTATATTTACCCGAGATATTCAATAAAAATCATCAAAATAAGTTTTTATTCTCGAACCGACCCCGATTTTGAAAAAAACGTGATGTAACCCCTTGCCATTTTGGTTGATTTGGACCAAAATTTAGATTTTCAGATTTTTGATGCCAATCGATAGTACTGATCCTTACGAATCCAAAATGGTATAAAATTCCCAAATCGGACATTATTTGGCCGACATATTCCAAAAAATCATCAAAAATGGTTTACTTTACAAACGATTCGTTTTTTTGTCAACGACTTTTTTTAACTCATCGATTTTTAATTTGTTTGAAAGCCAATTGATAGTAGGGATCCCTACGAATTCAGGAAGGTATAACATTTAAAAAAATCTGACGATATTTACCCGAGATATTCAAAGAAATTCATAAAAAAGTTTTTTTCTCGAACCGACCCCGATTTTGAAAAAAACGTGATGTAACCCCTTGCCATTTTGGTTGATTTGGACCAAAATTTGGATTTTCAGATTTTTGATGCCAATCGATAGTACTGATCCTTACGAGTCCAAAATGGTATAAAATTCCCAAATCGGACATTATTTGGCCGAGATATTCCAAAAAATCATCAAAAAAGGTTGACTTAACAAACGATTCCTTTTTTGGTTGACAACTTTTTTTAACTCATAGATTTTTAATTTGTTTGACTGCCAGTTGATAGTAGGGATCCCTACGAATTCAGGAAGGTATAACATTTAATAATCGGATTATATTTACCCGAGATATTAAAAAAAATGCATCAAAAAGTTTTTATTCTCGAACCGACCCCGATTTTGAAAAAAACGTGATGTAACCCCTTGCCATTTTGGTTGATTTGGACCAAAATTTAGATTTTCAGATTTTTGATGCCAATCGATAGTACTGATCCTTACGAATCCAAAATGGTATAAAATTCCCAAATCGGACATTATTTGGCCGAGATATTCCAAAAAATCATCAAAAATGGTTTACTTTACAAACGATTCGTTTTTTGGTCAACAACTTTTTTTAACTCATCGATTTTTAATTTGTTTGAAAGCCAATTGATAGTAGGGATCCCTACGAATTCAGGAAGGTATAACATTTAAAAAAATCTGACGATATTTACCCGAGATATTCAAAAAAATTCATAAAAAAGTTTTTTTCTCGAACCGACCCCGATTTTGAAAAAAACGTGATGTAACCCCTTGCCATTTTGGTTGATTTGGACAAAAATTTATATAATTTATAAATTATAATGGTGGTAGCGGGAAGGTGGCGATAGCTATAAAATGAAAGATACTTGATATATAAACTATTCTTAAAGCTATGTGTCAAGTTTGGTGACTTTAGTTTTTCCAACTTACGAGAATTCCCTAAAAAAAAGCTGGTTTTCGATAGCGATTTTTATCGATTACTTGAAAACGAGGCCAGTTATCGATTATCGGAGACCAACAAGTACTGCACGGGCACTAGAACGACTTACATTGATGCTGATCAGGAATAAATCTACTTTATGGGGTCGGAGATGCTTTCTTAGCCCGTTATACACATTTGCACAAATACATTATACCGTTTATACCCATTTTGAATGGGTTCAGGATATAAAAATGGTTTATTAAAAAATAAGATTTTTATTAATACCAGTGCAATTTATTTTTAAATGAGAAATTCCCGTGCCAAGGGGATTATATTCTGAGTATTTCTGTTTATATATTTCTATGTAAAATGGTCTTTCAGTCATAAAGCAATAGGTCAAATAGTACATATGTCGAAATCGAAATCGAAAGAACTGCACACAGTTGCCCCGGATATTAAATGATTATGGCGTATAGCTCCTTACTTAGTAGGTCTTACGAGGAACTAGGAACGAGCGAAGATTTGAGCATGGTGAAGGGAACTGCAAGGCGCCAGCAAGGAGGTCAAAATCAGTTAGGACCCTCTGTTAAAGTGCACATAGTTGGATTGTTTTTAGGTCAATCAATAGCGTTTCAATTGTTTGTGATTACTTTGTAACTGTATAGGCAGCGTACGTGAGTAAGTGAGCATGTGAGTGTGTGTGTATCGTGCACAAAATGACGGCGACGCCAGTGTTGACCATTTTGTTTTTGCTTCGTAGCATGGCGTGTGCAGGACCTACGACAACAAGAAGGCACTGCACCTAGGTTATGTCCTGCGCAGTCTCAAATTCTCGAACTCACACAGACACACGACTGTCGTCTATCTGTGAGAAATCAATTAAGGTTCAACGCACGCTGTGGCGTGCAGTTGAAATGAAGACAAACTGACTCCTCCCACAGAAAGCTAAATGTTTGCAAATGTGTCCGAACATCAGATGCCCTCAATTAAACAAATACAAATACATGTTTGTATTGTTAAGATGCTTATACTTATTTTAAAACTAGTTTTTCTTTAAATGAAAGTTGCACAGGAATTTACAAAATAGTTTTTTTGTTAAAATTATCCAACAGATCTTTGAACTTGGTTTGCTTTTCCATTACAGTATCGGGAGGTAATTCCCTTAAGTTATTGTACACGTACACCCTAACGAACATAGATCCAAATCCTTATATAACACGTTTGAAAATGGTCGCAAACTTATATGACGAAAGCGTGTAGAGTATAGAATGTTGCGAATTTGCGACCGTTACGCCCGCAATTGTGTATGTGTGAGCTCGTGTGAAGGTCGTAAGTATTCGTAAAATGTGTGTATATGTGCATTAATATGGTTGAAAACGTAACTGTTAATGTTGATATGAGCATAAGCCATTTGCTGTCTAGATGTGTGTACAGTCCTAATGTGACCAATGCCCTTGGAAATTAAATGCCGAAAACACATAAAACGTAAACACATCCGTTTCCTCCTACAGTCGAGAAGAGTCTAAGTCTTAAACGAACACACGCACACACACACAGATAAGCAGCATATGGGGGAGATGCGACTGTGTGTATGAACTCTACCTATACATATATAATAAACATATGCAAAAACAAGCAGCTATTGACCCAGATTTCTTGACGAAGCCCCGCGACCACCTTCTTTTCCCCCTTAGCCAAGCCATGCTATATTGCGCATACGTCCCTTGGGTTTTTGTTTGTTTGCATTAAAATTGAGTTTAGAAATTTTAATTTTATTTGCAACTGATGCTAATGCCCCTTGCTGCTAATGCGTTGCTGATGGCAATTACTAGTCTATTCTAAAATTAAAATTAATAAAGGCTAATGGCACTTTGATTTTGAGCAAGGACAAACCCGTCACAAATCCGGCCTTGTAACTTTGAACTCAAGAGGATAGACGCTGCGCTCTGGCTGTGGGCTGTCTGTCTGCCTGCTTGTTAACAAGGCTGCTTCCTTATCGATTACCCTTTCCTGTAGCTGACTTCCAATTACGGCATACTTATGATAATATATATGTACAAATCCAAGCAGAGTCTTCGACTATCTTTAGGTATGGGCACACGGGAACAAGGGAAGGTACCAAATAAATAAAATGACTCTGTCTATACTATACGCGGGACTACACACGACTGAGATATGCTTGAAAACCCAGTTTGCGATATATATTTTTATCGAGTTCATGGATGTGTGGCAAGTTATCGATCATTTAAAGCAAACATTATCGTAGGAATAGTCTCTGAAATCGACGCTCGATGTCCTGATCGAGCATGGGTTCGAAGCTGCTTTCTTTTGACTACATTATGCCCCCATTAAATTACCTTCTTTAACAATTTTTAATATGTTTGGGGTATAAATTGTGGAATAATTTAAATGAGTATATTCTATAAAAATTCAAAATTTGGGAACTCTATCTCTTGTAATGCTAACTTAGAAGTTATGCTGAAAAAACCTTATTCAAAAATATATATTTGTTGACATTACAAAGTTGGGAGGAGATCACAAGATTTTAGATAAAATATGATAAAGTGGTCCGATCGGGCAGACAGACGGACATGGCTATATAAACTCGGCTGTTGATGCTGATCTAGAAAATATATACTTTTTGGGGTTGGTCTCCATCTATAATAATCCCCGCAAGGGTATAAAAATAATTAATTATCCATAACTTAATCGCAGAAGAAGCTTATTGTCTATCGAAATTTCCTCTATTTAACAGACGAAGGAAAAAAGCTACATTTTATTAGCCCTGCGCGCCGAAAGTCGGTCCTAGCTCCCATACTGATTAAAATCAAGAATGGTGTGGATGGTGGAGACATTGGAGACAAGAAGTTGGGCAGCGAGAGCAGTGGCAGTGGCCACATAGCGGTCCAAATTGAGCCGGCCAGGCGAGTCAAGGTGAGCTGGCTTAGAATTGGCCAACATCCTGAATTAATAACTATCTTTGTGCAGCGCCATAGCATACACGGAATGATGGAGGAGGAGAACACCATCCGGCCGCATCAAGAGATCCGTCAGCTAACTCTGGAGGAGAAGAAGTTTCTACTGGCCGTGGAAAGGGGTGATATGGCGGGCACCCGGAGAATGCTGCAGAAGGCGCAGGACACCGAATACATCAATGTGAACTGCGTTGATCCGCTGGGGCGGACCGCCCTGCTCATGGCCATAGATAACGAGAACTTGGAGATGGTGGAATTGCTCATAAACTACAATGTCGACACAAAGGACGCGCTCTTGCACTCCATTTCCGAGGAGTTTGTAGAGGCTGTTGAGGTGCTATTGGATCATGAGAATGTCACCTTTCAGAATGAGGGCAACCATGTGTGTAGGAGATACCCAAAGTGATCTCTCGTATACGAATAAATATATTAATTATCAATAACTATTTTTCATAGAGCTGGGAGTCGGCTTCCGAGGAAACTTCAACGTTTACGCCGGACATAACACCACTTATTTTGGCCGCACATCGGGACAATTATGAGATCATCAAGATCCTACTGGACCGAGGTGCTGTCCTGCCCATGCCTCACGATGTACGCTGCGGGTGCGATGAGTGCGTCCAGTCCCGGCAGGAGGACTCTCTAAGGCACTCGCGATCCCGGATCAATGCCTACCGTGCACTTGCCAGTCCCAGTCTAATAGCGCTCTCCTCAAAGGATCCCATACTCACCGCCTTCGAGCTGTCCTGGGAGCTGCGGCGCCTAAGCTTTCTCGAGCACGAATTCAAGGTGCAATATAGATCTAATACGTTTTATTCCAAAGTATCTAACCCGTTGTCTTTCAGAATGAGTATCAGGAGCTGCGCAAGCAGTGTCAGGACTTTGCCACAGCTCTGCTGGACCATACGCGCACCTCGCACGAACTGGAGATATTGCTGAACCACGATCCCACTGGGCCGGTCTTTGAGCACGGCGAACGCATGCACCTGAATCGCCTAAAGCTGGCCATCAAGCTGCGCCAGAAGAAGGTTGTGTTCTATCCAAAATGGGCTCCGGATCGTTTAAAGACTATTTTATTTTATTCTGTTCAGTTTGTGGCCCATTCGAATGTGCAGCAGTTGCTAGCCAGCATTTGGTACGAGGGCTTGCCGGGATTTAGGCGCAAGAACATGGCACTGCAAGCATTGGACATAATTCGCATTGGCATCCTGTTTCCCATATTCTCGCTGGCCTACATACTGGCGCCCTATTCGAGTATTGGCCAGACCATGCGGAAGCCCTTCATAAAGTTCATTTGCCATAGCGCCTCGTACTTCACATTTCTGTTCCTGCTAATGCTTGCCTCCCAGCGCATTGAGACCTTCATCGGCAGCTGGTTCTGGTCAGAGGCAACCACCATGCTGAACCAGGCGGAGGAGCTGCAGCTGCCGACCAAGCGTGGCGCCAAGCCCACGTTCATTGAGTGGCTGATTCTCGCCTGGGTCAGCGGCCTTATTTGGAGCGAGGTGAAGCAGCTGTGGGACGTGGGACTCCAGGAGTATCTGAACGACATGTGGAATGTTATCGATTTTGTCACCAACTCCCTGTATGTCGCCACGGTAGCCCTGCGGGTTGTGTCATTCTTTCAGGTACAGTACACTTGAACACCATTATCAGCCCTACAGAGCAGGTGTAATCCATATTTCGTGCAGGTGCAAAAGGAGATGATCTTCAATTCACAGGCCACAGACCTGCCGCGCGAGCGTTGGGACACCTGGGACCCAATGCTCATTTCGGAAGGCCTTTTCAGTGCGGCGAATATTTTCAGTAGCCTCAAGCTGGTGTACATCTTCTCGGTGAACCCACACTTGGGGCCACTGCAAGTGTCTCTGTCGCGCATGGTCATGGACATCATGAAGTTTTTCTTCTTGTATGTCTTGGTCCTTTTCGCCTTTGGCAGCGGTCTCAATCAGCTCCTCTGGTGGGTACCACCTGCTACAATCATAGGTCTAATTTAAATATATATATTGCACTTAATTTCGATTCAGGTACTACGCTGATCTGGAGAAGAAGCGTTGTCCGGAGGTCTCGCCCAGTCTGCTGCTCAACATGAACGGCACAAATGATCCGAACGCGTGCATTGTCTGGCGGCGATTCTCAAAGTAAGTAGACTTTTCTTTCTGTTGAGATGGGAAAACGATCAGTTGCATTCGCTTTGTCGACTTGCAGTCTTTTTGAGACGACGCAAACCTTGTTTTGGGCTGTCTTTGGACTGATTGATCTGGACAGCTTCGAGCTGGATGGCATTAAAATCTTCACGCGTTTCTGGGGCATGCTGATGTTCGGCACCTACTCGGTAATCAACATAGTTGTGCTGCTCAATCTGCTGATTGCCATGATGAATCACTCGTATCAGCTCATCTCGGTAGGCTATCCAAATGAGGTAAATACCTCAGATGCTTTATTAAATTGCATTTCGATTCAGGAACGCGCCGATGTTGAGTGGAAATTCGCCCGCTCCAAATTGTGGATCAGTTACTTTGAAGAGGGCGGCACTTGCCCGCCCCCGTTTAATATAATTCCCACACCCAAGTCCATATGGTATGCCAGCAAGTGGATGCGCCAGATGTTCTGCAGCGGCTCCTCCGCAGCCCGCCGCGAGCACCTCAAGACAATACGGGTAAGTAGATATCCTCCACATGAACACCATATGAGACTTGTGAACTGCATCATTGCATCCTGCACAGCGCAAAGCACAGCAGGCCAGTGACAGGGACTTCAAGTATCAGCAGATCATGCGGAATCTGGTCCGTCGCTATGTGACGGTGGAGCAGAGGAAGGCGGAGTCACAGGGGGTAACCGAGGACGACGTAAACGAGATTAAGCAGGACATTTCCGCCTTCCGCTGCGAGCTGGTGGAGATACTGAAGAACAGCGGGATGGACACGAATGTGTCTGCAGGTCAAGGTGGTGGTAAGATGCCCTTTCACTCACACTCCGCGCACTACATTAAGTCTCTTCACCCCGCTTTCAGGTGGCGGGGGCAAGAAGAATCGCCAGAAGGAGCGCCGCCTCATGAAAGGTTTCAATATCGCGCCACCCGGCTCCACGAGCTCGCTGGCGCCAGTGGCCGAGTTCTCGACATCACTGGACAACTACGATAACCAGCATGAGATTCTCAGCTCGACCCTGTCCACCCTTTTCACACCCAATTTCATCCATAGACGTCAGAATACTACTGGAGGAATGGCTGGCGCCGAGTCGCCAACTTCGCCTACGCAGAGCTCAGTAGCTGCGTCGGCGGCGACGGCGGCGTCGGCGGCGCCTGCTGCCACCAAGTACAACAAGTCCACGCTGAAGTATAACAAGCGCATAGCGGGACACAAGAAACGCTGGGGTGAGTATGCTCAGCTTGCTAAGTCTACGGCCGGAAACTAATCTGCCGTGCTCTAAGGCACTCTCATTGAGGCCGCCAAGGTGGGCAACATGAGCAAAATGCTGGGACGCTCCAAGTCCGAGGACTCCGTCTGCAACTCCACGCACAATTCCACGCCCGTGCATGAGCAAGTGCGGGTAACATATGCCCAGAGCTCAACGCAGCGCACCTACGCGTACCACGGAGCGGAGCCACCAGCTGTGGCCCCGCTTCCACATCCTCCGGCGCTTGGCAGCGCCAGCACGTCGGGTCACTCGCATGTGGGCATGGGCGCCCACTTCTTTCACACGACCTCCGGTGCGTATGAGTGCCTTGAGCTAGTAGCTGTGTGTACGGCGGAGTCTAAACCAAATAGAGTTCCTTCCAGGTCTGACTGCCATCGCTGCTCTAAAGCGCAAACGCAAAAAGTTCTCTTCTAGTAAAAACATTTGTCCCGTAACTGAGTCCATTGCGGCTGCCACTGCTGCCGAGCTGCTGACCGACAAGGTTCGTACTTTCCACATGAAATCTGAGCGACACATCAATTGCAGACTCTTTATATCCCGCACAGACCCTTAAGCGCGTGTCCAGCTATCCGGCAGCTACCGCCCAGGGCAGCGTGCCGCACAAGGATCCGACCCAGGTGGTCAAGCCGCGGCGCCACGAGCAAACTCAGAGCCAGCACGACTCGGTCGAGGCCTCAACAGAGTTCACCCTGTCCATCGATCCATCCAACACGTCCGTCAATTCGCGCGAGCCGCTGATTGGCAGCAGCTGCGTCTCCACAATGGGAACCATTGGCTGAATGCCATTGAATAAAACTACGTAAGGAATTTTAATGCAGATAACTCATTTCGGCTCTGGGATCTTGAGCGGAATATTAACACAATTCAGATATACACAACTATAACCAATCACTAGTCATCATCACTAAGAACCTTATTCTGGACGAACCTTATCCTTCTCGGCTCAATTTCAACCCCACTCCACACATACACACCCATATCATGTGACTGCATTTATAGGAATGCCTTCGCAGAGAAGCCTTTGAATCTGAACCGTTGAGCAACTAATTGAACCGCTACCAATACCAAATATAAAATACAACTATCCCATATCGATGTTGAAAGCTGCCTTAGTATTAGAAGTATTTTTTGTATAAACCAAAGGTATATCTATATATATTCATAGTACTAGTAAATGCACATATGTATGTGTGCACAGACATATACGAGTTTTGGAGGAATATTAAATTGCTAAACTTGGACTTAGAATAACGCTGTGTGATGTTGATTTCGGAATGGATTGAAGGCCGAGCATTTTCCCGAGGCAAATACAAAGCAAACAGCACAACATTTTATACACCGATTTTAACCAACTCAACAAACAATAAACGAATTGCAAACTCTTGATGATTTTAGCGCCTATATAGTGAATACTTATAAGTATATTTGTAGAATTAACAATAGTACGATTGTGAACTACATTTTTAGATGGGTTTAAGTAACTGCAAGCGAGTAGGCAAAAGGAATTTTTACTTACGTACATGTATTCAGTTAAAGCTTTATTGTTCACAGTACCCCCAGACTTAAATAAAACGAAACTTATTGTGACCTTTAGTAGCACCTAATCTAAATGCCTAAGTCATGAATATTAAACATTGAATAGCAGGAATATGTTAAACAATAACTGCGATAAACGGATAAACGAATATGTAGGTAATTAAAATGTTATATAAATATATATATTATATATACACATACTTATACACATTAATTGAACATCTACATATCAACAAATACGATAACGTCCGACTTAAAGCTATGTCTATGTCAATATCATTTAAGATTGTTAAATCACCTGATCTTAAGAAAAAACTTGTATTTATGGTGCGAATTGCTTTATCTGAATATAATTGAAATATTATTTGTTAACAATAAAGAATAAAACGTTTTAAGTACTCACATTATACAGCATTCTTTCAATTTTTAGTGCGTAACACTGGGCGAAATCTAAAATACCGACAACTGCCATCGACCTATTTTGATATAGGGAAGGCCCCCGTCTTGTCACAAAATGTGTATCGTTTAGCGTCTCTTACCCCTTACTATATATAGTATATTCAAGATAGGTATCGACCGCCGAGTCGATACAGCCATTTCCATCTTAACAGTTATTTCATAGGTCTAAAGATTCTGACCACAAAATGAGTTCTTATGTGAAAAACTGTTACTTACAATTGAGCGAAATTTTCTTTGTGACATATCACATTTAGAGAAAAAACACTCTTCCTTGCTGAAAATCGGAGGCAAAGGTTTCGTGGGTAAAGTTTCGGATTCAAACTCATTTACAAGGATCGTTATGAAAATTTGAAATATATTTCAAGTTTTACACAAAATCCACTTTTCATGGGAATAAATGTTTTAAGTTTTGCCCGAGGGGTCTTCCCCCTTATTAATATACTCTGGATATAAACTAAATGAATGCTTGTTTCAGCGATTTCGTTTTTTTGGGTTGTAACTCAATTGAAAAGATCTTTGTGAAAATTCATTTAAGCCTTGGTTCACACACTTCGCGAAATGCACTCCTATTAGAAGTTTCTCCCGATTAACTTTGAACATAATTTCAGAACTCTACATTAAGACTTAATACGATTTTGGAAACTCCACCCGCAAATGAGGTAAATTTGTAGAAAACGGTTGAATGAAACTTTTCGATTTGCCATCCGATCAGCCGTAAACTCATTTTCAAGGATCTTTGTGAACATTTATTCAAGGCATGTTACATTTGTCGAAAAGTGCCCTCCTTCTTAATGAATACGTGTTTAAGAGATTTTGGGAATTCCAACTGGAACTGTAAAGAATCGGGAAGAAGATTATCAGTAATATGATTGCCATATTGATGACTATTTCTAAAGCTATGTGCTTTCATATACATCGCTGTTAGTAATACACGACTCTCAATTATAAGCCCCACATTCTGGAGATTACAAGAGCTACATTTATAAAGATAATATACAGATCATAGGTATTTCAGGAGGGTCTCCTTCCTGATTCTCATTGAATTACACCTTTGTTTGCATTTTAAGTTCGTTTCTGGCCCCAGGAAATCTTCTTTTCGGGATCCCACCTGAAATATAGATGTGTTCCATGTATATAAGTATTTCACAACCAATCTATAAAACACCATACATTTTTTGTATATCGCATTTATTTTATACATACACATATATATATATATAAAGATAAATATATTCATGTACATATATATGTGTATATATACTCTTGCAAATAATTATTATAAATATGCATTACATATACATATATATATATACATATATATATATATATATATATATGCCTGTATAATAAACAAATAATTCGACAAATAGTACAATATAGTGCTAATAGAATCATTTATATATTGTAACCATTTACCGTTGTAAACATACATATCTTCTGTTTTTATATTGTAATTATTCTTTAAATTTCATATTAAACTATGGAAAGAAACGATTACATTAATTTATTTAATTAGAAAAAATAATAATAATTGGAATATAAATCACTTTGCGTTGCATTAGGCTATAAATTTCAAATATTATATCGTATGGACTAAATAATTTGTTTTTTTATATTTTTATTTTTGTGTAAAAAATATATTCATGTATATATAAGTATATTTGTTTGTATTGTGTATTTCTTTTGTATATTGTGTATTTATATAAACGAGAGCTTTGCCCAGCTGGGGTCGCAAAATCTCCGTAGCATAGGGTCAATAATAACCAACAAATGTTCCGCCATTAACACGATATAATTCATGTAAGCTCTGGTATAATTGGATTGTATGCTACGATATCTTTATCTTTATCTTTTTCATATATATAGAGCCGCCTCAAATAGGGGCCTTCGATGTTTATTTATGTTTATCATAATAATAAATTGTGTTATATTTCACATGGAAAGTTGAGAGAATGAAAGAAGCGTCTGTTAAACTAGCTCGAAATGGACACAGTTCCACGTGACTGTCAACAGTCCGGAATGGGCTGTGGATCTGTCAGCGTCCATCGATTGGCTATCGAGAACAATTGTACAGCACTACAGATATAATTTATAATTGTTTGCATAGTTGGTTAGTTTTTAGATTTAGATAAAGATTTAAATTTCGATATAGATACATATACATTTGCAAACACACACACATAGAGTAATGCTTGTTATCAGTTTTATACTATGATGAAACATAGTCTCATAAATTCATAATTTTCGGTATTCATTGTTTATAACTCGTTTAAATATTTATAGTGCATACATACACATACATCCATGTTTATATAAGTATGTTATATATATACACGCAACAACAATGCAGTTAACAGTAAAAGAGGCGTTTGTAAAGGTTTTAAGAAGTACTTTTTAAGCTTAGTTTTTTTCTTCTCGTTTTCGTTTTTGTTACTGTTTGTTTCGTTTTGTTTTATGTACATTGAGAATTTGTTGCACAAAATGCTATAGCACATATGGAGATTTTTGTGTGTAGTATACATATGCTTGTGTGTAATTGATTAAATATGTGGTAAGTCACATACATAAATAAATACAAATACAAATACAAATACAAATATATATATATATATATATTTATATATATATTTATATGAAGAAACATTTCGTTCCGTTAGGAAACATTGATGCACTTTCCTCGAACCATCAATGTTTGCAGGTGTAAATAAAAGGTTCTTAAGAATGTTAATTGTGTAGATTCAATATAATTGTTAATGTTATTACGAGTTGTTTGTGAATGTGTGTGTGTGTGTGTTGTTATTGTTGTTTCCTTTTTATATTTAGGAGATGTACAATTGATTTTTATATATACATAGATACATATAAAAAATAAAAAATAAACAAATGCAAGTGATTTACAGCTAGTCAATGGAAATCACTTTTTTGAGACACCAAGTGGGATTTGTTTGTGTTAACCTTTACAGTGTGGAGTCGCGTTCGCAGTGACCACCAGCTCAGCCACAAAGCATGTGCACTAGCATGGCCACCAGGAAGGTGACAAACACGAATGAAACCACGAAGAAGACGGCCTTCTGCTGGTCCGTCAGCCGCTTCCTGTTGTAGTAGAGCGCTGTCAGCCAGGTTGCGAACCGTCTGAGGACGCCGCCATGTGGCATGCTGTAGTTGCTGCTGTTGCTTGAGGCGCCCATAACGGCGGCGGCGGAGGCGGCGTGCGGGAAATGCGCATGATGCATGTGGTGCGAGTGGTGCAAGTGATGCTGGTGGTGCATGTGATGAGCGGCGGCGCTGCTGTTGCCGCGCAGCTGCAAGGTGGAGGCGGATGGAGCAGCCAGACTTGAGGCGGTTGCCTCAGCGGGGCACGCTTGATGCTGTTGGTGATGGTGATGATGATGATGATGGTGATGATGCAGCGGATCGCCGCAAGCATTGAAACCAGCCGCCGACAGCTCATGCTGTAGCCGGCCAATCGCCTGAGCGTCCGCACCAACTCCACTGTTGCCGCTAATGGCCGAGGCGCTAACCGAGCGCTGATGCAGTCCGCTGGACGGGCCATTAGGTTCCAAGAGCTTGCGGCTAGCGCGCTGCGTTGCCGCCTGATTTGGAGCTACTGTGGACCCATGTAGATGGTGGCAGGAAGCGGAGCTGGCGTCCAGCTCGCTGGGCACTTGATAGCGCAGTGCCGTCGATGATTGGCCGTGCAACAGCTCTCCGCCGGGTGTGACACGCACCGGGCACACACGAAACTGGTAGCAGGTTCCCGCCGCCAGATTGTCTATGGTGAACTTGGTCTCTGGTCCGCGATACAGCTGTCTGTAATCTAGGTTGCTTGGAGCCACATTGGCCCCGTTGCTGCTGCCGCTAGTACTGCGCGCCTTGGGCGAGCTGGAAGAATCGCAGTCGGTGGATGCGACAATAGCATACTGCAGCTCGTACTCGACGCGATCGTTGAAGCTGTTCTTTGAATGCTGCCACTCGAGAGTCAGCTGCATGAGCGGCTGGCTGGCCTGGTCCAGCAGGCAGACGCTTTCGTGCACCACGCGCGGCGCCTTAATGTTGGCCGGCAGCGTAGCGCTCGTCTCGAATATATACTCCTCGGAGTATTCGCCGTCGCCGGCGCGGTCCGTGTGCGCGTAGATGCGGAATGTGTAGCTGCTGCGCTCCTGGAGTTTGTGGATCTTGCACATGCAGTTGGTGCCCGAGTAGACGGTCTGAAACTGTTTCGCCCTTGCCACGTACATCTCCACGTAGTACTTGGTGAAGTCCGCATTGCCAGCACCGGTTGCGCCGCCGGCACCGCCGCTTGCCACAGCGTTAAAGCCGCCGGTTTTGCCGCTTTCGCCCCACTTTAGCTTTATGTAGTTGTGGCCAGAGCCGCTGCATTCCAGCCTGGGCGGAGCTGGCGGCGCCGGCTGCGTCGTTAGCTTGGCATAAGCACTGAAAACTCCGGCGCCTATCGCGTTGACCGCCTGCACGCGGAACTTGTAACTGGTCTCCGGTGTTAGCCCAACTACCGTGTATCGCGTACAGGCATCGGGTGTGGCAATCGTCCGCTCACCATACTCAATGTTGTAGCTGCAGATTGCAGCGCCATGCGAGGCCGGCTCCGTCCAGTTCAGTGTAACCTCCGTGGCGGTGAACTCGTAGCCCTGCATTTGCGGAGCGCCCGGCACTGCGGCGGGCGTTGAGACGCACACCACGTCCGTAGCAGGTCCCGTGCCGGCTGCATTGCTGGCCAGCACGCGTAGATAATAGCGCGTGTAGGGCGTCAGATTGCGCAGCTCCACAAAGGTCTGGGAGCCCTGGTAGCAGCCGTTGAACTGTGTGCTCGGCGGCTCCACTTGCGGCTCATCCAGCTGCTGGCTGGCGCTCTGCAAGGTGTAGCCACTCACGGCGGATCCATTGAGCAGCGCAGGCGGCTGCCAATTGACGCTCAAATGTGTGGCGGA